CACTGAACAAGAGCCGGTAATACTATTAAACACTATTAAATTTAGATTATACTTTGACAAAAGAGGAATTCTTAATTGACAACCTTTTGATTCTGGCTCCCCTGAGAACAAGTGGTCACGCCGTCATAGCTTCAAGTTTCATCGACAACCAAAATGAAGTAATTTGCTAAATGATGGTTCTAAATTTCATTGTAAATTTAAATACGCACCAATACCTACACTACCCAGTGACCCAGTCAATGATTGTTTAACCAGCAGTCGAATCTAAATTACATTAAATATTTAAATTGATCGAGGATATAAGAGAATTGCCATTTGCAACCAGTAAATTTTATTCTATCTTCTCTGCATAGATTACATACAGACTTTTCGAAATATGATATTTTAATTCGTCACAACATGGAGTGTTCATGATTCGGGGGTAGTGCTTTTGTTGATCATGAGAAATGCACAATTCCAGTCAAAGCAAGCAACATCATGAAGAAGGGAAGTGAATCGGTGCGGCAACCACCATAATTATATATCATTAAAAACAACATATAGTTAAGTAAAAACATGGAAATTAAACAAAGATATAAGAAAATTAAGTACTAAGGTAAAATACAAATAGTACCATCTTAAATAGAATCAAACGATCAGCAAAACGTATATCTGAAGAAATCAACGGGAATACATTATATAGTGTGTGTGGAGGGATTTTCATGGATGAAACTTTCTAAATGGGCTTTAAATTACCTCAACAAAATGATTTACTGTAGTTGGACCAAGAAGTTCACCCTCACTTCAACGTGGACGCTCTCTGGGATTTCTTGCTGCTCATGATCCCACGTGTTACAATACAAGCAACGTAGAGTTTTGAAAAATCTCAGTCTTCTAACGCTAAGATCCAAAAGATAGTAATGGGTGGAATATGAACGGACTTGTGAAGAAATCACATTTAGACGCTTTGAACAAGCAAGTTACTAATGCACAAAGATAATAACAGAAGGTATCTGTTATAACTCTCTTTTTCTTACGGTTAATGACCCAGCTATTCCTATTGCTTAGTATTCTCGGACACCGACACTCGACAAGTCCCCAAATCAGAACACGGTTGAACAGGAAAGAGATTATATTCCAGATAGCAAGTCAGAAGCACAATAGGGAAAACGTCGGTATATTTATAGTTTTCACATAAGAAGATTCCAGAGTATTCTCCGACTATCGACTAGTGCTGATTGGATAAGAATCAGCCAATCAGCGTGCACCAAAGCAATCATGCATTGAGCATGCTTTAATCTAGTCTATGTCCCGCTAACAGTATCTCTCAGTATCATGTAAGACTAATTGATGAACTTAGTACTTATCGGATGGGCTAATTTCGTCATGCACCTTCTCTTCAGCAAGTGAATACCAGAGTTTTCCAGATGCTAGTTCCTAGTGGCTCACCCTGCAACGACAGTTATGCCGCCGAACTTCTGGCATAACAGTATTTTCAAACGACTCAACCGTTACACACAAACTGCATTATCGAGAGCTTCACCCGTAATTCTACATGATCGAATGTCTTACATTAACTGAGAACAAAGTGCATTTCCGAGCAAACCTTGCACTGATAGCACTGAGGTGCATTTTAAGCCGGTTCGAAAATAGAGCTCCCTCCTTAATCTTCACCGGTTTTGTTTGACTTTACCTAGGGTATGGAAATGTAGTGTTTAGTCCCTAGCTCTTGAAGGATAGGAATACATTGGGACATATCCAAAGGCGAGCCAAGAAACCAGTTCGAGGACCTCATGAAGAACTCCACAAGTCACTAGATCCTTACTCTTTAGAATACAGACATCCCAGAACTGGCTATCCCATTTGCCATTATTGACAGTGTATCCTATGAGAGTGGGACGTGTGAATTAGTTAGTCTCCGCTTGAAATGCAAGGGACAAGAGCTGCTGATTGGTTTGGTCTATCGCAGTCCAAGCTATGAGGTAAATGAAGTCTTGCTAAGCAGTCTCAATACTTGGTCACAAAGTGGTCGATGTCTAATCCTAGGGGACTTTAATACACCTATGGTAGACTGGGAAAATCTGCGAACTGAATCGTCAGAAAGTTCCTTCGAGCAGGAACTAGTTGATGCGGTTATCACATGTGCTTTAGTGCAACATGTGAAAGAAGCGACTAAGTACAACCCGGACAGTGAATCATCCTTACTAGATCTTATATTGACTCACCATGAGAATGACGTTGCGAACCTCCATTATATGCCACCCCTAGGTAAAAGTGATCACGCAGTTTTAACTTTCGACTTCCATATAACTGCCAGTCATGAGGACGCGTCAGTCCAGTCCAGACCCAACGTCTGGAAAGCAAACATACCAGACATCATGCACTCAGCATCGTTAATAGATTGGACAATAGACCCAGAGTCCTCAATTGAAACGGCCTCGGACGCATTCCGAAATTCATACTTAAAAGTTACTACACCCCACATCCCTTGGACTATACCAAGGGGACCGAGAAACTCCCCACCATGGTTCCGTAGGGTGGTCCGCATCCTTCTCCGTAAGAGAAGAAAAATGTGGGATAGATTTAGGTTACTGGGGACTTATGAAACTAAGTCCCAGTATAGAAAAGTCCGGAATACCTGTGCCTCGACCCTCCGTAAGTCTAGAAAGTTGTACGAAGAAAAACTTGTTAATGAATCCATAAAATATCCTTAACGCTTGTATTCTTATATAAACCAAAAGGCAAAGAGAAGAGGAAATATTCCTGCTCTATGGGGAGACAGTACTGTCGCGTCACTAGTGGAGGACGACTTTGGTAAGGCTCACGTGTTCCCAAACTACTTTAGCAATGTATACACCATAGAAGCACCCTTCCCATCAGCGCATACAGATCCTCCCACACATACACTGGACGGCGTGACCATTAAAGAACTCGATGTCTTTGGTCTACTAAATAAGCTTGACATAGGTAAACCCACGGGGCCCGATGAACTACATCCTAGGCTACTGAAGGAATTACCTAACTTCGTTGCGAACCCTTTAAGTACATGCTTTAACCTATCCGTAACTCAGGGTCGTTTACCGAAAGACTGGAAAAACGCCATAATAAGTCCTGTCTTCAAAACAAGTACGAAACACAAACCTGAGAATTACCGCCCCGTAAGCTTAACTAGTGTGGTTGTTAAAATCTTAGAAAAGATTATTCGGAAGGAGTTGTCTAAGTACCTCGATGAAAACCAGATCCTTTCGGAGAAGCAGCACGGCTTTAGAATAGGTTACTCTTGTCTCACTAACTTATTAGTGGCTCGTGAAAGCTCGTGTGCTCTTGAGGACCAAAAGTTACCTGTAGACGTAGCCTTCATTGATTTCAGCAAAGCTTTTGACAAAGTTCCGCACAACCGGCTGTTATATAAGTTAAGAAATGTCGGAATTGGAGGCAATCTATTGATGTGGATAAAAGACTCCTTAGTTGGGCGTCAACAAAGAGTACGGGTGAACTCAAAGTTATCTAGCTGGGAAACTGTGCTTAGTGAAGTCCCCCAGGGTACAGTTTTGGGGCCAGTGCTATTCCTCTTGTATGTAAACGACCTTCCTTGTCTCCTATCATCATCGGTCTTGCTATATGCTGACGATGTCAAGATATGGAGAACGATACGATGTGGGGGTGATAGCTTAGAACTCCAAAATGACCTGAAGAAATTATCTGAGTGGTCTCAAACCTGGCAGTTGCCGATAAATACTTCCAAGTGTGTTGCGATGCATATCGGTCATCAAGGCACAGATACATACACGATAAATAACACTGAGCTACCTGTCGTCCAGACATATAATGACTTAGGAGTCATCATTATCCAAGACTTAAAGACTACTGCACACTGCCGTGCAATATCCGCCAAAGGTTTTAGAACGTTATGGTCAATACGTGGGGCTTTTAGTCATGTCGACGCCAAGACGTTTTCGACTTTGTATACAGTGTTCGTACGTTCTAAACTTGAGTACTGGATACAAGCGGCCAGCCCCTGCTTAAAAAAGACAGTGAGCTTCTGGAAAAGGTTCAGAGAACGGCAACTAAGCTGATTCCCGGAATAGCGAAGCTTCCGTATGAAGCTCGACTGGCCAAGCTGAACCTTTTCCCGTTGTCATATCGCAGAACTAGAGGCGGCCTGATTACAGTTTTCAAATTGCTTAGTGCCAAATTAGCACCTGATATGCCCTCATTTTTCTTGTTTTCCAAAACAGAGAGTTTACGAGGACACTCCAAAAACGTTCACAAGCCAAGAACAAATTACTTGTCAGCTGACCATGGACTTTCCCATCGAATCATCAACGAATAGAACTCATTACCTCAGCCCGTGGTTGAGGCCCCATCCATCGATTTTTTCAAAAGAAAGTTGGATCAACTGAGGGACCACCATTGCCAGGACTAACACAGGCCACCAGGTCTCCTGTCCTTCCCAAATTGAAACTGAAACTTAATGACTTAGAGAATCCTAGCCATCCCATGAAACACCTGCTTAGGCTCAGTCTCTATGCAAACTGTAAGGATATTACCCAGAAATTAGAGTTACAAAATAACAGAACGGACAACAGGCACACCTTTTACTATTTACGAGTAGTAGTAGTGGTTCGAACGACTTTTCATGAGTCGTTCAGGCGAGAACGTGACACTATAGTTTCAACATAATCTAATATTTTACCGTTAAATCTATGTTCCAGTTTTTAGGCCTCGATGGTCCACTGCTGCTAGATATGGCAGCCTGTCAAGCGAAGGCTTTTTCCATTACGTCCAGAAGCACTCGAACTACCCAAAGAATTTGATCGCGTGGCATAGTTCAGGTCACGTTACTTATCCCTGAATACATTAAAAGAGTAATCGAATACATCTCTGGTGACACGTAAGTAACGAACCTCAGAAGTTTTATTGTTCTTTGGCAAACTCACTACCATACTTACCCAATCAAAGAAAAATTACGATAATGTTTATGGTAATGAAGGTTAAGCTGAGTTGGAGTGCACAATTTCATATGTGCGGTACATTTGATGACATCCAATTGTAACGGGATTAAAGTCATCATGTATGATGTTGTTCATAGATTTTGTTTTCCTTCTATTGCAGGGCAAGCAAGAATAAACGCTTTAGAAGAAGAAGAGCAAGCCCTACACGCACTGAACTTACAGGATGACTCATAAGACCGTTTTGTAAACTAGCTCTCTTTCTGTACAGAACCCGCGGCGCTTTGAAAGCTATCTTGTAGATTAGGTTCGGTGGCTTCATCGATAGTCATCACGGTTGGTCGATAGGTCGCCAATGGAACTGACAGTCTTTCAGCAGTCAACAACCGAAGTGCCGTTCGTTTCAAGTTGGCTGTGTCAGCCGGTGGCACTCGAAGTAGATGTTCTCGCAGTGCACCTGGCAGCAGTCCTTCAATAAAACAGGAGCGTGTAATTTCTTCTCGCCCCAAGATGTCCAGGCTAGGGAATGCCTGGGTTGCCACCTGCTGTAATGAGTGAAGATAGTCGATGGGGCTTTCCTGAGGTTTCTGGGGCGAGAAGAAATTACACGCTCCTGTTTTATTGAAGGACTGCTGCCAGGTGCACTGCGAGAACATCTACTTCGAGTGCCACCGGCTGACACAGCCGACTTGAAACGAACGGCACTTCGGTTGTTGACTGCTGAAAGACTGTCAGTTCCATTGGCGACCTATCGACCAACCGTGATGACTATCGATGAAGCCACCGAACCTAATCTACAAGATAGCTTTCAAAGCGCCGCGGGTTCTGTACAGAAAGAGAGCTAGTTTACAAAACGGTCTTATGAGTCATCCTGTAAGTTCAGTGCGTGTAGGGCTTGCTCTTCTTCTTCTAAAGCGTTTATTCTTGCTTGCCCTGCAATAGAAGGAAAACAAAATCTATTAACAACATCATACATGATGATTTTAATCCCGTTACACAATGTTATAAGTGCAAATGTAGGCGTATGATATGTGTTTATTACTTCATGTAGGGAGATTGCAACAGAAATATTTAATTACTAGATGGCCATTAAACTCTCGCCATCTTACTAACAAGGTTTCAGAAACCTGGAGATTTTAGGTCAGTCATCGTGTCCATACTGGTTGAATAAGAGAGTTTCAAAACTTCTGTTTAATTTAATCATAGATGTCGCTTAGAAGTTTCTAGAGTCACGCCTCGTATTGCTGTAGCCCAGATTAATCAGCTGTTCAGTACTCATGCTCTGGTAAATAATCGGATCTCAGATATTGCGTTGGAATTCTCTAGATAATTTCAGAATTTCCAGGAATTTAATATTATAAGCTAATTCTCAATAGATCTGCATGTTTGTAATGAGGTTATGTGCTTAAAAATCAACCATAACGGATGTAATTCCATTTACTGAAAGAATTTCCATATTCAGCTACTTCGCTCATAGTCGTTGAAATGTTGCAGTTGATCAGTCGTAGAGTTAACTCATTTTTAGGTGTGAAATTCATACTAATTTCTCTTGGATTTACGGTCAAGGCTTGAGAATAATCTTTCATTTGTCCGTTATTGTTTCGTCTAACTAGGCTGAGTACTGGAGATGAATCGCGATATATCGGCTCAAGTAAAAGTCCTGGGAAAGCTCGCAAATGAAATGGCAAATATATCCATTAAACAGTTAGGAAGTAATTGTAACAGTCGATATTCTTGTTAATTCTTATTTATTTTTCTGTCAGACTAGAATTCCGTGAACATTTTATTGCGCGTTTGTTCCGTACTCGCTTTTAAAATCGAGCTTTGTCATAGGACTGTTAAAATAATTAAATACCAGACTCAAACAAGTTACTGACTAGCTTGGAGTGCCACCAGGTATTCGTGTATTCTAACGTCTGTAGTTCTGGTCAGTACGTTCCTATTCTTATCTATTTGGTGTCAAACGTGTTTGGGCGTTAGATTTTAGAGGGTTTTCGTCTATCTAATTGTCCCATAGTCACTATAAGAAGGTTCCCTTTTACATGGCTAACGAAGTTGAAGCTTGTTTTAACGGTGAGACTGTATGAGTGCTAGTAACACTGCCCAGTTGTCCAAAGTAAACTAAGATTAACGGAACACAAACCCGTAATTAAATTGTTATGAATCGTGAACTGCCTTAACCGGCGTTGGTGAGACATGCTATGGCAGAAACGGGTTATCTAACTTTCATTATTTGAATTCATCACGTCTCATTAACTTCGTTGCTTCGTTATCTTGTGCACAATATGTATTGTCATGTTTATTGAATATCATTATTATCTCTCCTCAGTCAATAAATTGTCGAAATAATTAGGTTACTAACGTTTTACTGATTTGTGCGATGTAATGTGAATGTTAGAGCTACGTCATACAGTTGCCGTTTCTCTACAATTGTTATATTTGGAAATTTGTCTAGAAGTACTCTGAACGTGACGCCGATTATACAAGGGATCTCGAAGTAAAAGACATTGCTTGCTTGGTATTGTGACTGGTTGATGCTCATTACTGAAAATTAAGTTTTTAAAGATTCTTTCCTATTTGTTATGCAGATCATTACTTTGAACTGAAACCGTGCTACTTCCATATTCTTCACATTTAAAACAACCAATAAAAGATTTTGTGGTTTACATTCTATCCTTCAGCAATAAGTTAAATCAGATTGCTTATAATTGGCGGAAAATTCTTTGAATCCATATTTCGTAATGCAGTGGAAATCTAAGAAAATTGAGGCAAAGGATACTACTTTCAATCCTGACAATATTGGTGATATCGACTTCGGTAGTGAAGATCTTGAACAAGAATTACTTGACTTATTGCATGATGATCCAACCCTTGAGATTTCTAATAAATCTTCGTCTTTTGATCAGGTAAGTAGAATTAGTGTTTAACCGTGATCTAGGATTATGTACAACACAATTGGTTTAATCGCTCGAAGTTCAGCAAATGAACTGTTTTTATCAAGAAGTGTATTTTAAATGCTCTTCCGTCTTTAGTTGTTAACAGCTTCATAATATGTGAGGGATCTGAATATGCAAAGGAAAAACGTACCGATAGTTTTGTGATAATTAGGATGTTGACTTCATTCGAAACACCATATGCTCGAAACTGATTAGGTTTATATATGGACCTTGAGTACTAAGTTACAACTCAAGATTCTTAACTGTGTCGCATCAGGCTAGGGATTCGATGCTTAACTCCTTATTCGTAGTGCTAACTATTTTTTACTGCCATTGCGTTCATGCTTGTAGGCATTTTATCATCTAGATTTTGATAATCTTATGTCGAGATAATTATCCAGAGTTTAGACAAACAAAAAACTTCACTTTTACTGGGTGTAAATCGTTTTATTTTCTCTGTAGCCTCTGAAACAATCGATTTTGTAGACTCAGAAATGTTATGCCATCATATATATCTTTTATTATAATTTTAGTTTCTTTTCGAAATTCTTTTAAGTAAATGCCTCCTCTTGGGAAGTTATAAGTTAACCATGAAGATAAATATATAACAAAACGTGGCGCAAATGTCCCCATCCAACACAGAAGACTAAGATAGCTAAAACAAGCGGTTAATGTAATGCTGCCAACAGTAGTCGAATAATGTAGATGATGAGAGGGAGTAGAATTCACACAATAAGATAATAATGTTTGTGATCATTAAAGTTGAATACATTTTCGCTGGTACGATGTATTTTGAGCTAAAAATTGGTATCTAGCCGTTGATTACAATTATCTGGTGGGATCCCCCCAAAACCCCTCAACTTTCCTATGTGATTCCGGCCTAAGGTGGATGACTCCGAAAGTTAGCTTTCTTGTCTTCCCTTATCATGGTGTTAAATATAATAACATAAATAGTCTATTGAAAAATTCTTGTCTTTGTGTATGTGGTGAATTACATCATTATACGTTCATCATAATTGAATTAAGATAATTTTTGGGTGGATTAAAGCAGGCAACATTGTAGAGGTTATGTTCCTCAGCCCGAGGATCAAGGGATTAAACTTTCGACCTTCGGAGAAAAAAAAGTGGTCATTGTATGCAGTCAAAATAAAATGGAAAGGCATTAATTACTTTTCAGGGATTGATCTAACACGAGATTTACTCGTTGACTTGGAATACGCAGATAATATAGTTTTGTTTGGCGAAGATGCTGACGAAATGCACTCTTCTGTTCATCTTAAGCAGCAATGCAATCGTGTTTAGGATGCGGTTCTCTCCATCCAAATGTAAAGTGTTACTTCAGGATTGACTTGAGTCATCGCCTGAATTAATGATAGGGAGTGAAGCAATTGAATGCATCGACCGCTTTAATTGTCTTGTGAGTCTCATCAGTATTGATGATCTGGTGTCTGACGAAGTCTCTGCACGAATTCGGAAGGCTCATTTGGCTTTCGTTAACTTGCATCACTTACAGCGCAGGCAAGATATCCATCTATCAACCGAAGGACGACTTTACCATGCAGTAGCTTGTTCCGTTCTACTTTATGGTTGTGCAGCATTTCCATTAAGAGTAGACGATGTTCATAGGCTATTGGTATTCTATCATAGGTGTCTTTGCTTTTGTATTTTGGGACCACTGAGTAAATAGTGTCTGGGTTAGCAGTAGATCACTAGGTAAAGATGGGAAATCGATTAATGAGTTAATACATCATCAACTGAGGTGGTTGGGACGTTTTACGTATGACTAACCACTATCTACCTCGACGGGGGATGTTATTTGGTGCGGGACTAGGTTTAAAAAAGCTATGGGCGGCCAAAGCAAAAATATGGCATCAGTCTATAAAAGCGCTAATAGATCTAGACTACTTGGTTACAGTAACCAATGGTTAGAGACTTTGAATGACATGGCCGAAAATCTTATGCAATCGGGAACGTAAATCCATTCTTTGTCTTCTCCGGAATTCTGAGATTCTAAATCGTGCATAACATTTTTTCTATTTCGCTAATTTATATTTTCTCGAGTCGTGTCTTCGATGCTTAATTTTTCCCGCTACCACTGATACTTTTACCACCTGTACTGTTCATGGATTTGACCTGATAACTTAATCGATTTGTGTTAATGCGGTATGGCAACTTGAACCGATGTGCATACATACCAGGTCTTACATTGCGACTGATTGACTAACTGACTGAATATTTGTAAGGTCAACTAGGCGATAGTTATTTACTAAATTTTGTGATCAGTTTTATGAATCGAACTACGTACCAGACTACTCTATGACTGACTGAAGTACTTTTTTGTACCTAATGATCCAACACAATCCCTGTAGTCATATGTGAATGATTGTTAGACCTATAATCATATGACGTCAGATATGGCTGTTATATATATCCTTCATATTTCGTACAATAACTCGAAAAACATTCATAAGAACTTCTCATTGCATTATCGAAATTTATCAAAGGGACTAATTGTTTTAAAATTCATAAGAACATTCCTTGCTTGAATATTAGATGAATATTCCTATAATTTCGAATCTTAGAAATGATCTATTTATTTATTTATTTATTTATTTATTTGAACACAAATATTGGTACACGAATGCGCCAAATATATATGCGCCACACAAAACAATGAGAATTTAAGGGGAAGGAGAAAAAAAAGAGATTGATGTAAGGTGGTGTAATAGTAATGATGGTAAAAATGGCGGAACAGACAGGTACAATCAGAAGAAATCTTTCAGTTAAGGGAGACACAACCACTTTTTATGAAGAAAGTAAAAGAAGGTTACAGCAGGATCGCCACTGGCTTCTATTCTGAGCCATATCTGATAACGTCTCTAGCCACTGTGTAGCACCATCTCTCAGACCCCAACCAGGGAGTCGTGAAGGACCAACAGAAGCCAGTCCTTTGCAGCTTTCTTTCATACCACGACACCATGTCATATACTGACCACCTCTCCGCTTCTTCCAACCAGTCCCAGAGTGGGCAAATAATGCACGACGTGGAATTCTCTGAGACGACATTCGTAGAACATGTCAAAGCCACCGAAGTCGGTGTTTCAAGATGGTGACACCAATTGCATTATCATCTCTGTGCCCGAACACACGATGCCGAACCTCTGCATTACTAACATGGTGTTGCCACTGAATGTCAGCAATCCTTCGAAGACAACGATGATCGAACACAGAGAGTCGTCTAACGTCCTCAACTCGGAGAGGCCAGGTTTCACAAGCATAGAGCAAAACTGCTCCCACCGACGCGTTGTAGATCCGACCTTTTACAGCCAGACTAACATCACGAAGGCGCCAAAGGTGGCCCAGATTGGCATAAGCCGCTCTGGCTTTCAATATACGTGAATTGATCTCATCACTCACACCCCCACCAGCACTTATGCAGCTACCCAGATACACGAACTTCTCAACTACGTCTATCTGCTCACCATCCAGAGTGAGTACAGGGTTAGAATCCTGCCAGTCTTGCAGAAGTACTTTGCACTTCGAAGGTGCAAACCATATACTATACCTACGGACACTGATTGCCAACTGATTAAGTGCGGATTGCATGTTTTGGGCATTGTCGCACAGTAAGACAATATCATCCGTATACTCAAGGTCGAGAAGTCTTTCTCCAGGCAACAGATCCACAGCACCATTACCTACATCAATCAGAGCTGTTTCCAGAATGTCATCGATGGCAAAGTTGAAGAGGAATGATGAGATTGGGCAACCCTGCCTAACCCCACTGCTCGTATGGAACAATGGAGAGAGGAGGTTGTATGCCCTCACTCTGCCTGAGGTGTTTGCATATAGGGCTTTTAGGATGTTAATAAACTTCTCAGACACACCCTTCTTCAATAGACAATCCCAGAGAACAGCCCTGTCCAACGAATCGAAGGCAGCCCTGATGTCAAGAAACACTACGATTGTTGGCCTTTGATAAGTATGGCGGTGTTCTAACATTTGGCGGAGGGTGAAGATATGATCAATACATCCTCGACCAGAACGAAACCCAGCCTGCTTCTCGCGAGTCAATCATTCTCGGGTTTTGAACAACCTGCGAAGTATGACGGAAGCCAATAGCTTGGACGCAATCGGAAGTAAACTTATCCCCCGATAGTTGTTACAGGAACGACGTGAACCCTTTTTAAAGATAGGGACAACTATCGACTCATTCCATGATGTTGGTACACTCTCTAGTTCCCAAACCTTTGTAAACAACGTCGTCAATTCCTTAGTCAGAAAGTCACCACCATCTTTAAAAAGAGCCGGAGGTAAGTCATCTGGACCAGGTGATTTGTAACGCTTCAAGAGTTGGAGTTCTTTGCGGACTTCCTCCTCATTTGGTGGATCAGTCGTCACCGGCCATGGAGGGCAGGACAGTCTGACCGATGTTGCCGGAGCAGCAGGCCAGTTGAACTGCCCTTCAAAAAATTCTGCCCATCGTCCAAGACGTCGATGGATGTTAGTGATTGGCATCCCATCATCCTCGCAGATTGTTTCACTCACACCAGACTTCTTGCTGCCAGTGGCTCGGATGAGCTGGAAGAGCTTCCGGTAGTTACCAGATGCAGCTGCTGCTTCCAGCTCATTAGCACGCTCCGACCACCAGGCTTCTCGGTCCTTACGCAAGCTTTGCCCAATTTCCTTACGTAACATCCTTCGTTTATGGTCAAACTCACGGTCACCCGGAGTAGACCGACGGGCTTCAATGAGTTGTAAGGAAACAGAAGAAACCCAGTGCTTAAAAGCGGGACGTTTCGCAAACCCACAACTGACTGTACCCGCCATTTTCATGGCGTCATGCAATTGCAACCAATGCTCATCTATACTTTTCAGTGGAAAGGTAGCTAGCCTAGAGGCTAGCTCAGTTCGATACTTACTTGCAACAGAAGTTGCAACCAGCTTGCTAACATCAATCTTTTGGTGGTGGTCACTTCGTTGGCCACTGAAAAGTAAGGTAAGATTGGCGCAGACCAGGGCATGGTCAGAGTCCAGATAGGTACTCCGAAAGGAGCGGCAGTCTTGTACACAACCACGCCAGCGGTAGCTGATCGCGATGTGATCAATCTGAGTCCAGGCTTGAGATTCAGAGGGAGGACGCCAGGTGTTACATCGGCGATCACTATGGCGGAAGTTAGTGCTAGCCAGAAACAGGTTGTGGTCTGTGCATAGTTGCAGTAGACGGTCCCCGTTATCTGACCTGCGACCATCGAGTCCCCATCGGCCACCTAAACGACTCTGTTCTGTGCCTAGACGTCCGACCTGAGCATTCAAGTCTCCGGCTAGTACTACAATATCTGTCGAACGCACTTTCTGGAGAAGAACAGATAACTGGTGGTAAAACTCATCCTTGATTGCATCCGGGCTGCAATCTGTCGGAGCATAGGCGGAGATGACGAAAAGACATAGTTTCTCACATCGATTTCTCACTTTGATGGAACTTTCTAATCTAACAGCACATAACCGACTGTTAGTGGGGACCCAATCGATTAGTGCTGCCTCAGCTCTAGCGCTTAGTGCGACACCAACGGCAGCAAGACCAGACGAAGATGCCACGGAGTCCCCGGATAAGCGCACGTAAAACAAGCTTTTCGAAGCGACAGATGGAGAGCGAATTTGTAGTACTTCACCAGAGTCTTGAATACGGGTCTCGGATAGACAACAAACATCAATATTAAGACTTTCCAAAGACATAGCCAGCCCTATCTGTTGTCCGACCTGCATAAGTGTGCGAACGTTGAAGACAGCCACTTTGAATGGTGCACGTGGTTTCAGAAAAACTGCTTCAGTACTCATATTCGGTGGTAACATACAATTTTCAACCGGACAGTGACTCGAGAACGTTTAGATACAGTCGAATTTCCACCAAAGACGAGCCGCTGTATAAGTATAAAAGAGGGTGAATAATGTGGAAAATAATAATAATAATAATAATAATAATGACAATAATAGTAGTAATAATAATAATAGTATTAATAATGACAATAATTGTAATGATAATAATCTGAATCAATTGTTTGTTTTTCAAAGCGAGAAAGGTAATTTCCATAGGCATAAAGAGTTCATCAATTTGTGTGTGGGCTGTGATACTGCCCGGGTGCCCAAACCGAAGCAGGTGGTTATCTTAGGGGGCCACACCCCGAGCCTTTGACCTAAAGGTCTAACCCACAAGGCAGTGGAGCATCGTAAGGAGATGCAGTCCCATGGTAGCCGGTGACCAACAATTGGTTCATACGCCATTTGTTCCCGCAGGATACTGGAGCCCATGTGCACCATTGATTTGGAATCCGGTTAAAGCGCCGGACATTCGCTTTTCGTCCTCTCATTTTCGTAAACAACACCCCTGCCACGAGAAGGCAGTGAGTAGGACTTCCCTGGCAGAGGCTATATACCCGTGGCCGTGTGAGAGCATTTCGAGAGGGAGAGCGGACTCTCCCCACTCTCGGCTGTACCAGGGCATTTGGCCTAAACATGTATTTGTTCTCATTTCACAAACACTGTGTAAGAGTAAAAGATGATACTCACTGGCTGAATCCAAGTGTGTGGCTTGCTTTGATTTTGTAAACCAATAGGTAGAATTTAGTGCTCTGAGCACATCTAATTTACTGTTTTATTGTTTTCGCATTACATCCTGTGTATCACCATCACACTGAAAGTATGTTGATCATAAAATTGAAGATGATAGTAGCCAGTGTAAATCTTGAAACAGTTTCCGGTTTCCACAGTTGTTCATTGCTTCGAGCTGTTTAACATTACTGTTATCTGAAGTTGATAGGAGTAAGAAGATTTATAAGCTCCATAATCTTGAGTGCATATTCCCCCTTTTTAAAACAAAGCCGGAATACCGATTGCCACGACGCGCAATGCTGACTAATGTTGGGTATGGTTGGAAGAAAGTTAGGGACGGCCAAACCAAAACGTGGCATCAGTCCCTGAAGTCACTGACTTCTAGTCTGAGCCATATTGGTAGATGCAGACTAATTGGTTGCGGTCCGCGTGACTATCGTAACCAATTGTTGGAGACTCTAGGTAACATAGCTCAGAATTGATGACAATGACGTAGGTGTTTGCACTCACTATTTTCCCTTAAGCTGAGATTAAAATCGCTTCATATCTTTCTTTCTACGAACTTATTCTTTCTTTCTGCACTATATCCTTATGTAAAATCTTTCTTTTATATATTACACCATTGAGTTAACTGCTTCTGTGAATCCGGTGTTCATCTTGTGCTAATGAGGTGTGGCAACTTGGACCGACACATCTATGTGCCTGGTCCTACGTTGTAACTGACTGACAGCTACTACAGTTCTGTTTACTTGACTGAAAGTCTGTAAATCAATAGCACATCAAGTAAACCTACGCTTGTTTCTTTATTCAAAAGGTTCAAATTATTTTCCTCTTACAACTACCTGTAATAGCCTGAAAGATGTTTAAACAATGTGAAGTCAATTATTTTACGTATAGAATTATATATTTAATTCACTTTTTATGCTTTTATAGGATGAAAAAAACTGTGATGAAGACGATGAATTGTTACTTGCTGAACTAGTAAAATCAATGGAAAGTGGGAAATCTGCTGTACCGAACAGAGCTAATAAGGTGGATGAATTAGAAATCAACGAAGATATTTTCGGCAATCAAAAGACAAGTACTGGTAGTACTTCCAAGCCGCCTCATCAAATATCGGGGTTCGAAGGAAGTGATTTTGGATCGTCATTGCTGAGTTCTCCAAGAAACAGTGGTCTGACAACGAATTCAAAGGTAGTTATCATGCTTTAGTTTGTTGCTTTATGTGAATATACGAAATACGAGTTGCGTTTCTTATTTGTTAGAAATTTTAGTGAAGGACCGTTTTATATGTCAAAGAGTATTGCTTCATACACTTAACAAAAGCTTTTCTCTCGTAATGAATCTCCTCACTGTTGACATATACATATACATACATAATTTCAAGGGCAAAGTTGCTATACTGATACTTATAGATTAAGTATATAAAATCGCGTCATATTATTAGGATTTAAATGCAAAGGAAGACGAGGGTATCATCGAAGAAACGTTCACAATGTTTTCGTAAATTTCTCTGTCGTGTGTCTTATGTTTCATCAAAAATATAACGCTGTTGTCAAACCATACTCGGTTATATTTAAAATTCATAAGTCAAATAATTATATAGATCGCATTCAGACATTGGTGTATACAACGTACCACGGAATTAACGACTGAACGTCATTTAACACATTAGTGATAGAATGTTATAAATTTTTTAGGTCAAGATTGAAGTCTAGATGTTATTACCAGGTTCGGTTCTTGTTGGCCATATCAGAAGGTTATAAATATATCTATTTGAAATGGCTGTACCTTTACAAGGACTCTTCTATAGACCTAATAGGTTTTGTAATCCTCAAGCTTAAGAAGAAAACCCTGTCGCTGTTCATTGTTCATGGTGAACTGATTTACGAGAATTCACTTTGACGATCCACATATTCTGTAAAAGTCAACTTCGGCGGTCTATAATACCAAATGAATGCTATTTCCATAAAATATGAGCGATACTTATAAGTCAATGTTGATGGAATCTACAGCAATCTCACTGATACTTATTTTGGAAAGCAAATATTTTAATTAAACACATATATTCCAGAAATTATAGAATACGCATTAATTTACAAGGGTAATTAGGTTGGTACAATATGGGTCCAACATATAAAAAGAAACGTAGTTTGTTTAAAAATATATGATACGTAAATTGTTTGGGATTGGAAACCTACTAAAAAGATATTGGTAATGCGAAGCATATGGCGGTAACAGTTTCTATAGCTATTTTAAAATAGACTGAATACCGATATTGGTGGCTACATTGTCATTCCGGGTAGCTTCGTCTAATCAGTCGACTGGAATACCGTCACTTCAGCTTTTGCCAACGGTATAACAGCAAAAAAGTCAAGATACAAAGTGGTTAGAAATATTATACTTCAGACATGCAACTCAGGCGATCAGACCGCTATAAAGGAAGAGTAAGTGTAGGGATTGTCGTATGGTATGTAGAATGACTTGACAGTTAATCAGTGCGTGAATTGTTTAATCGGTTTATATGGACTGAATGGACAATAGACAAACAAGCACAAATCGATTCACACTTATATTAAAATGTATGTGGATAAAAGTTGTCCTTAGTTATTTGAATCAGTACGAAGTAATTAGTAGGATCAAAATGACACATGAACATTGGGCTTTATACCAGTTCAGAATGCCCTTGTTTGGGCGTTCGCTGTAGGCAAATAATATAAAGCTGTTACATCATAACAGATGACTTGGCGATAAAATGTTCAGATATTATGAAAATCTAATATTTTGTTTCTATGTACTTCTTGTTCTTTGATAGAACGGGACAAATTGTGATAACGACGATGAATTGTTACTTGCTGAACTAGTAAAATCAATGGAAAGTGGGAAATCACCTGTATCGAACAGAGCTAATAAGATGGATGAATTAGAAGTCAACGAAGAAGATATTTTTGATGATCATAAAATAAGTACTAGTAATACATCCAACAGTGGTTCAGTGACAAATCCAAAGGTTGTTCTCATACTTCAGGATATATATATATATATATATATATATATATATATATTACTAGTGACCTCAATAATAAAAACGATTAAACTTTCAAAGTTCTCATAATCTCACTTGTGAAATGGAATATACTTACAGGTGTAAGTACATTTTAAGCATTTTCAAGGGAAGCATGGATGCAGCGAACAAAGGATGAGAGTGACTTTATCTCACGGACAGATTGTGGCAAATTATACCAGAGTCTGGAAAGTTTGCTGGTAAAGTAATTCACATGGTGATAAGATTTAGAATATTCTGGGAACGGTCGAACAAATACTTTATTCATCAAAGTACGTGACTCGTTATTATAGAGGTTACGAATTATGCAACCCAGAAGACGTTAGGACTTGTAGGTCTGTTTCGAAACCTGTTCTGTGAAAGACCAGTTGTAGTAGTTTTAACATGTGCAGAACAAAAACTGATATGAGGATAAAGTTTTTATAAATCGTTAAAAATAATGATAATTATTACACAAACTCATGATGCTTTAAATCATTGTTTTTCGACTACATTAACCTTAAACCAATGAATAGTTATAAATCGAAACTTACTTTAATTACTTTTGCTTATTACGAAACTAGATAGTATCATTGGTTACTGCACAAGATTTTTAACTCGTAAAGTAGTGATTAATTTACATAAATTCTGTCCGTGAAGTATCTAAAAAGTTCTGGTTTCAATTACGTGAGTTAGGGGGTTATAAAGGTGCTTATTATTGAGAAGTTTTAAACTAAGAAGAAAGCTGCCGATTACGTTAATACTAGATAGGGTCTGGATTATCCTATTATTGATATTCAGGACTGAATCCCGAAGTGGGATTCAGGTCTTGCGTTATGTCCTATTTGAAACTCGCACTTTGGATCCAGATTTATGCTACATATGAGTACCAAATAGGGAGAAATTCTCGTCCCAAGTTCCACTGCTAACCACAATCCATATATTCTAAAAACAAGTTTTTTAATGCTTCTAAGCTTTTATCCGTCCCACAACTCGTTATTGATTTGTGATAAGTGCTGTTTTAATTTCCCTTTTACTGAACCTTAAATTTTGTTGACTGAAATTACATTTTATTCTTATTTAAAATTAAAATATATTTAATTAACAACTGGCAAAGGTACCTTCAAATAATAATGCTTTGGGAAATAGTTCAGGAAGTACTTTAAAACCGACTGCCGCTGATGTAAAACCTGATATTCGTCAAGCTGTATTGGATTATATCAATCCAAAAACTTCTAATTCTGGTCTAGATTTATTGAAAAATCGTCATAAAGAATACAAAGTGAGTTTCCCTTTTCTTTCAGAACATCATCCGTTTATCGTCCTTGAAGCATATTAGATTTCTGTTGGATTACTTTGCCTTGAAGATTTCCTATTCAGTTAATTATTGTCAACAGTTATTACGATTATACAATAGTAAATGTTAGTTTGAAGTCTATTTCAATTATATCCATTTCTAAGTAGAACAAAGTAAATTTGTAAAATAGTTTATACTATGATTGTTTTACTTTTCTTTGTTATACACTTTTTTACTATATCAATTGTTTGGTTTATTTCTACTCTGGATGTACACTACTCTATTTCTGATAACTGGAAAAAGTCAAATTATGGGTGCTGTATAGGAATGCCGATGGTGTAATCCAGTTTTAACTTTTTTTTAAACTTCACCCTTCAAGTATGCAAACATAAATGATTCATGCAAATCATAGTATGGAAATAAATAAATCGAGCCCATGTAACCAAGACTCTAAGACAAAATATAATGAAATTTTAATTTGTTTGTCACTAGTATGTTGTGTTCCTGATCAGTGGAGTTTCTTGTATTTATCTTGTATCTGTTTTTCCATCTTTTCAAAAAAAGCTTTCTTGAACGCTCGAATCTAATCCGATTGTTTTTCTAAAGTTGTCTCAAAGTTCAACATTCCGTATTTCTATTGATTAGTGAAATTCATAAAATAATAGACTCAACTTCAAACTTTTTATATAATGTAGATTTTTCAGAATCGTAGAAATATCTTAAGTAACTCATGTAAATAAGACGCACAAAATTAAGGGTAAAATCTTTCAGTTTATCATGAGTTTGTGAATGCTAGAAATCAGTACAGTAGGTTAATAACTCAACAACAATACTTGCCGTTAAGTGTGAATTTATGTCAGGTGTTTAAATGTAGTTGACAGCCTAACATTTCAATGTGATCCACAGTGTCGAGTCACTCATACCAGTTGTCACATTGCAACTTAATTGATAGGATTCGATCAAGAATAAAAAGGACTGGAAAAATGTAACACTGGTCACTATTCATTAAGATGAATTCTGTAAAAATACGGGATTTTTATTTGCTGTTTGCAAACTTAAAGTATTGATTTGTCAAAATAAATTATATTTGCGTCCTAGGTAGATACATTTTGTAAAAAAATATAAAAAATTATCTATCATTTAATCATCCTTTTAAAATCTATAGTGAAAAACAAATTTCTTAATACTTATTTGCAGAATAAGCACATTATAATACATATAAACCTAATGTAAACATTTAAAAAACTCAGGTATTACGTCATAGTGCTTCTATCATATCACTTATCGTGTGTATTTCAGGTTCTAAAATGTAGATTAACGGGATACGTTTTCTTCCCTTTTTCAAACCATTTTCTTATAGATGATGGCTATTCCCATATGATTTGATTTGTTTAGTTGATTTTCATAGTTTACACCACAGACTGACCTTGGTTGCTCAGCATTATGAATCAATTGAAATTAGAAATGCAAATTATTGGGTACAAACCTACCGGTTTAAAAGTTAAGCCCACGCCGCGGGATATGAGGATCCCATATTCGATCCTTGGAGGGGTCGTGGCTGTGTATTTTTGGGGAGTCCCATACTAGTACAAAACAACTTTTCGGTGCTCCCAGGTTTTTACCGATGATTCAATCGATATCCCTTCGTAATGTAAACCATGCAGTCCGAAGACATTTATGAAGTCTCTATACTATATTGCATTTTAGTATATTCATTATATAACCAATTATTTCAGGCTCCATGTTCTGATTTGTGCTGTGCATTTTTACATCTTCCAACTTCTTTTTTAACCATTTGATCACAGTTTTGAATCGTATTCTATCTAATACCTCTGAATAATCTTTTTTGTTTGACTCAGTAAATGTAAATCATAGCTTTGTTGAAGAACTTATCTGTACTAATTCTGTTCTGTGAGTTCTATTATTAGGTTGGTGAAAATTTTACTAATACTTTAGTGGTTGGTATTTTAGTCAAAATACCTATTTTTTCTAACTGATTAACTCTAGACACAGTACGTACCTATAACACTAGTAGGACAGATCAATATTTAAACATAAATATTGGTGTGTTAAGAATTGTGTGGGTTTACGTGTATTTAACAAGAATCATCCGTTTTCTGTGAAATTCAGGTCAAATTCATTTATGGGACCAAAATATATTGTGCTTTGTGTGAACATGATATTCTAGATCGTTAGAGATACATTTTTATATACTTCAGATTGTGTTTTAAGAGCTTGGTTTTTCAAAATTATCTCACTGTCGTCTGTTCTCATGTTTTGTTTTTTTAAGAAGATCCGGAGTGTAGTACTCATTCTCTTATTATGTATGGTTGCATAAACAGCTGTACACATGTAATAATGTATGAGTATCAAACAAGCTTGACTTATGTTAGCTACTTTCTCAATTTTTAGAATGCGATCTATGAAATAACTGATTGTTAAAAATCTTTTCAGACGTTTTATTTGATAATTTATCAAAGAATTATGAATAGTTTATGGAAATCGATTCATATTTGTAGAAAAATAAACGGTGTCAAAGTAGACATATTTCTTTACAACGATCGAAATATTTCGATCGTACTTAACGTACGGTTTTGACTTTAACGACACACAGTACGCTTTTATGTCACCAAATCCAGTGTTTCGAGATGATGTTAACGGTCAAAAATGATAATATGTACTGTGCCCGAACACGCACTGTTGAGCTTCATCATGAGTCAGTGTTGTTAGAGATTGGTAGCTGACGTTCAGAGGCCCGCTCATGACCGAATATCATGAATTTACAAAGCCCAGTTTTATTTCTTCAAGTATTAGTTCTATGACATCAACCCTACTCATTCTCCTTAGTACTTTCAAAATTTAGTCAATTGTAAGATCGAAGGGGAATGAGAAAAATTGGAAAACTTCCTCAGTATCCTAACCCTATTGTTTAAAGTAAAAATGGTGGTAAAATGGATTGTGCGCGATGGCTTTCACGATATTATTATCCTGTTTAATTTCTTACTCACTTGGCTTTTTGCTTTCGAAGGATGAGCATTTCATTTATTTACTTATTTATTTGATATGTAAGTAATTTTCATATATACTGTTATCATTATGTACATAAGTTAGCTGCTTTGAAAGCTCGGGATACAGGCCAACTAAGGAAAGCAAAAGAATTATTGGAAGCATCAAAATGTATTGGAGAAGCTATCGTGAATATAGAAGCTGGCAAAGAAACATTCGATCCAGAGAATGACTTACCTCCTCCGCCATCGGAGTATGAATTCTCTAATGAGGGGGATCCAAACAATGAAACTGTGATCGCTCAGCCACCACCTTCATCTCAGCCTGTAAAATCGACTATACCAGATATTATGAAAACGTCTATTGTTTGCACAGAAAATATCTTAGCTCGTATAACCTACTATAAAGTATGTTTCGAAGTATCGTTTTTAAAGATAAGTTCACTGGTGTATATAGTCTATATTAAATCTTATTATTATGTTATCAACGACTAATTTAATTGGTGTTGTAAAATTTATCATATAATGTATAGTTTAACTAGTAGTCAATCTAGTATCTTATTGACCTCGATCCTAATTAAGACAAAAAATGTAATTCAATAACCAATTTGATGAAGTTAAGTGATTACGTATTTATTATTCACGTTACAGTTAACCAAAACAATTGGTAATAGTTATTGCCAGTTTAATAGGATTTCATATAATGCTGATAAAAATCATTGATTGGAATTCTATTGAAACGTCGATCTTCCTTTGAAATACAATCACTATCATTACATACAAAAGTGTATGTTATTGCATCTCTGTGCTTGATTGGTTTACTTGATCGAATAATGCAAATAGTCATTCGGTTAGCAATAGAAAAGTAACTAAATATCAGACACAGCTTTGAACATAGGTTTGTGATTGGTAGTGAAATGTAGGACGCGCATTTCGTCCTCATTGGGACTCATCAGCTGGATATACCTGCATCTCAGAGTTGATGTTCCTTCCTTGGTTAAAACTCAGTACTATATCCAGTCCGCTACTGAGTTTAGATAGTCACTAGCTTATGTGATGGGGTGGATTTCAATTCACATGTTTTGGTTATTTGAATCTTCTCTAGTAGTGGAAAACCATACTATGTTAATACAGTTACAAATGAGTCACAATGGGAATATCCTCAGCATCGAGTCATATCCACAAATAAAGTTCGATGCTTACATTTACTAGTGAAGCATAATGAATCTCGCCCGACCAAAGCTGCTACCTTGACGCGGTGGTCGGGCTTGCCTACCGTGATGACCCAACCGAGCTATATTGGCTGGAACATATGTTCCTGTAGGTTCTACCATGCCAGGCAGGTCGATTGGAGAACAGTAAGACTAAAAGCAGCAACTCAAGGTCTGAGGACGAAGTCGTACTGCTGACTGTACAGAGGTGTGACAGCAGTAAGGTGTTTCCTTCAGACAACCAGCATGACAGCGATGCTGCCTTCCCACAAGGAGGGGTGGGGTTAGAAAAGGTCGACCCTAACAATGTCACACCTCACCTTATCTCACGGATTTCCGTCTCCGGCGGTAAGGCCCTTTGAAGAACGGAGCTAACACGTCCAAAACCTTCCACGAAAAGGCCGTGCGCGACCGGCCTCAAGCAGTTGTCCCTTTGGGCTCTGCGGTCACGCTCCCAGGTCGTTAAGACCAACACTAATCCAATTTCCTTTTCAGGTTCCTCAAGAAATACCCTTCCACGGTGTGGGCAGCCGGGAAGTGATATCAGCCCTCATACCCGTAACAGCACACGAGACCAAGTTGGTCACATTCAAATCCTTCCTACACCTCCTAATACCTCTCTTATCTCCATGACTAACCCTCCTCACATCTCTTTATCACCTCGCACCGCCGGGGCAAACGATTCGAGTACGCGGAACGCTTTTCCTGGTCTCCTGAAACCACGCTCTAAACTACACGTAGGAGCTTTTAACGTCCGAACACTGGGCCAAATAGGACAGCAGGCTTCTTTAGCTATGACTTTAGAATCCCGCCCCATCGATGTGTGCTGCGTCTCCGAAACGCGCATATAGGATCCGAGTAGCGTCATTCATTTGACCTCACCATGCCAAAATAAAGAACCGACTTGATTCACACTTTGTATATCTGGAAGCCCTAATTCTGCTTCCCGTGGCCTCGCCGGCGTAGGTATGGCATTGAGTCCTAGGGCAGAACTAGCTCTCTTAGAGTGTATCCCAGTAGACAGTCGTTTGTGCGCTGTCCGACTGAACGGAACAGTAAGGATCCGAAAAGATAGGGACACTCGTCGTTGCCTCTTCGTCGTTTCTGCCTTTCCTCCCTCTGACTTCAGCGCAGATGATGTAAAAGATGAGTTTTACAGAAAGCTCTCCGACCTTCTCCGAAAAGCTAGGCGCTCTGATGTAGTAATAGTGGCTGGTGACTTTAATGCTCAAGTAGGTAAACTAAGCGATAGGGAAAGACACCTAAGTGGATCTTATGGTGTCGTGGCTCAAAGAACAGATCATGGCGACCGTCTGTTGCAGCTTTGCTCAGATAACTGCCTGTTCCTTGCAAATACTAACTTTAAGCATAAGGAAAAACATCTTTTAACATGGCGACCCCCTAATTCGTCCCAACGTTGGACCCAAATAGATCACATCGCTATTGGCCACCGATGGAGGGGCTCGATAGAAGACTGTCGCTCATTCTGGAGCACATGCTTAGATTCATATCATGCTCTAGTGCGAACGCGTATCTGTCTGCGTCTTACTGGACGTAGGAAAGACGCTGCAAGTAAACCTTTTCGGGCCCTACTTAATGATAGTCAAGCTAAGAGTGTATTTCAGGAACAACTAGGAAAACAGTTAGGCAGCCATGTAGGTGATGCCCACCCCCAGGCAGCACGGAATGATATCCGAAAAGCTGTGGAAACAGCAGTGATATCTGCTAGTAAGGTAAACCAGAAGGTTAGGGAGCAACACTGGATCTCAGCAGCATCTATCGCACTGATAGATGCTCGGAAACTCATTCCACCTGGCTGTACATGATGAAGAGCGGAGTCAGCTTAAGCGCAAGCTGACAAGAAGTCTACGCAATGATCGTGAACAGTGGTGGGTAGCGAAAGCAAGAGAGATGGAAAAGGCAGTAGCAATAGGTAATAGCAGACAATTGTTCAGACTTGTTAAGGAAACCGACTGTTAGCGAAACACTCTCAGAGAAAGATGGACACATTATACATTCTCAATCCAGGAGATTGGATCGATGGGCAGAACACTTTAGGGATCAGTTCAACTGGCCTTCAGTCACACTTCGGTTTCCCACGATCTCCAGTCAACCTAATGGCAAGTTAATGTAGGTCCTCCGTCTCTTTACGAAGTTGAAAAAGCCATAGGAAATCTGAAACGAGGGAGAGCAGCAGGCCCTGTTAGGTTCACTCCTGAGATTTTTAAGGATGGTGGTCCAGTATTAACAGTGAGATTAACTGAGGTCGTAGGTGGAATCTGGGAACTGAACGTAATCCCATCTGACTGGTCTCAATCACTGATTGTGCCCGTCTACAAGAAAGGACAAAAGTCCTCTTGTGACAATCACAAAGGAATCAGTTTGACTAATATAGTGTCTAAAATGTTGGCTTCAATAATACTTCGACGCCTAAATAAAGCTCGTGAGGAACAGACTAGAGAAAATCAGGCTGGTTTTCGACCTGGACGTGGTTGTATAAACCAGATATTCACATTACGTCAGGTCCTAGAACATAGACATATTCAGATGCCCCACAATGGAAGTTTTTCTCGACTTTAAGGCGGCACTTGACTCTGTTGATCGTGAGGTTCTATGGCAGTGTTTGTCACTGAAAGGTGTACCAAAAAAGTACATTAACCTTGTAAAGGTTCTCTACTCGAACACAACTGGTAGAGTGAGAGCTTATGGCGAACTGTCATCAAAATTGATTACCTCAAGTGGTGTTCGTCAGGGCTGTCCACTCTCTCCATTCTGGTTTAACTTTGTCGTTGACGTGCTTTTAGAGATGACACTTTCCTCATCTAAATTTACAGGGGTTGAACTTACATCGGGAGATTCACTTGTTGACTTAGAATATGCCGATGACATAGCTGTATTTGGTGAAGACGCTGACAAATTGAAGAGTCTTCTGACCACTCTAAGCAACAATGCAAACATGTTCGGCATGCAATTCTCCCCCTCGAAATGCAAAATGTTGCTTCAGGATTGGATTGCATCGACACCTGAACTAATGATTGGGAATCTCATCAGCCCTTGTGGTCTAGTGTGTGATGAAATCTCAGCACAGATACAGAAGGCTCAACTAGCTTTTGCCAAATTGCATCATTTATGGCGTAGGCGAGATATCCGTCTATCAACCAAAGGACGGGTTTACTATGCAGCAGTTCGTTCCGTCCTACTTTATGACAGTGAAACATGATCGGTAAGAGTAGATGATGTTCGTAGGTTACTAGTATTCGATCATAGATGTCTTCGAAGCATTGCTTGTATATCCTGGGACCACCGGAGAGGTAACACAGTTATTAGGAAACGGGTACTAGGTAAGGATGGCAAATCAATTGATGAAGTAGTGAAACTTCATCAGTTAAGATGGCTGGGACATGTGTTACGTATGCCCAGCCACCGACTGCCTCGATGTGCGGTGTTTTGTTGTATAGGAGTAGGTTGGAAGAAAGCTAGGGGCGGACAGACTAAAACATATCACAAGTCCATGAAGTCACTGACAAGTAGACTGAATCATATTGGTAGGTATAGACTACCTGGTTGGGGACCGAGAGATGATAACAACCGATGGTTAGAGACCCTGAATGACATGGCTCAAAATAGTTTGCAATGGCGCAGGTGCATCCACTCTTTGTGTTCTCCCAAATTCTAATCTTCTGAATTCTTCATATCCCTTTCTTTTTTCTCTTTCCAAATTTATTTCACTGGATTATACTCTTTAAATAACATCTCCAAACCCTAATCTTTCCAATTACTGCTTATAATTTTACTACATCTAGCACTACGGGATTTGAATCGACCACTGCATCTCTGTGCTGATGTGATGTGGCAACTCGAACTGATGTATGTACGTACGAAGTTCTACGTTGTTACTGACTGACTGACTGACATTAACACTTAAAACTTCAGTTGATCAATCCCTTTTGACATAGTGCATCCTCTGTGGATTGCGTCGATATTACCGTTAAATCACAAGTATTTTTAAACAGAGATGGATGGTGGCTAACAGTTTTGAAGTTATTTCGCTATAAACTATAAAGAAATCCGCTAAATAACAACTATTAATTAGCTCAAATTATCTTATTATTACGTAATACGAAATAGTGGTAAACTGTATCATGTAGATTTTTTCTCACCTAATTTTACTGTCTATTCGTCAAAGGAAAAATTAAAGGAAATAACCAACGATGACTCAAAGAAACGTCGTTACAATCGTATTCTCACACGGTATGATGAAGGACTGAGAGCTTGTGAACATGGAGTTACTTCGTTTGAATTTGAAGAGTTGGTCCCACCTCCAGGTTATCCTCCACTTACTGATCGTTCTAAATTAAGTAAAAATGTAAAATTATCTAACAATGATCCAAAAACATCTCTTGCAAAACCTAGCTCTGGGCATCCAATAAAAAATAAAACGGAAGCAATTGTTGAACTATTAACTAAACGTCAAGATGAGTTGAAACAAGCCGCTAAAGCTGCAAAACAATCTGGTAATATTGAATTGGCTAAAACGTACATACGATCGGTTCTTGGAATGAATCAAATGATACAAGCTGCTGAAGCTGGCTTACCAATAGATTTAACTCAGTTACCACGGCCACCTGCACTTACTGATTCTAATCCATCTAGACCTATATTAAGTGGATTAAAATGTGATCCACCTGTAAAGTATGCCGTTGCTTTTAATTCTTTATCAGGTAAATCGTTTCAAATAGTATGCTTTTTTAGAGAAATTTAACTGGATTTTAAAGAAGTATTGTTGCACACTCTCGATACTTCTACTATTCTTTTGCTTTTTATTTAATTTCATCATAGATACGTTTCTTTCTACTGGTGACACTTCTCAAAGGGTGACCTACTACCCATTGACCTCATTCACGTACAATATACGAATGACAGAATTCAGTCTTTTGAACACTAATGCTAAGATGTTTGCGATGCTTTTCTCTCTTCAAAGCTCACACTGTTGCTTTAGAACTGATAAGCTAGTGTCACTGACAGATTTGATCATAGGGAGTAATGTAGCTGAGCGCGTTGAACATTGTACTTATAGACTCAGTTCGGTTGGTAACTGGTTGGTACGTGAAATCCAACCACCCTGAGAAATTTCGTCTATTTTTTAGTTACTGTATCTCGTCCATGGAGCGAACAAAATCCTTATATATATATATATATATATATATATATATATATATATATATATATATATATATATATATAAATGGCTCGACAATTAACTATGTATCACTTAATTAATGTAAAATACCTGACTATTAAAGGTAGAAAACGTTCTTATACTGCAGTTATTCGATAAAAGCTGCCTTCGAATTATTACTTACTCAGAGTAAGCTACTCATCAAGTAATACTGGGGTAGATGGGACGCGTTTGAGTTATACCCTGCAACTCCTAACCGTACAATACTAGTTAGCGTAGGAGTATATTAGAAAATATTAGGAAACTTACTGAGCATTGTAAGAAAACACATGGTTTCTATTTGGGATCTCCAGAGTAATCATAATATATAAATATAACACCTCAAAATCTGTCTTGGTGGTGCAGTTGTATTTATATTTTCTGTCATTGAAATGTGAATGTTATTTCAGAGTCTTTGTTCTATTATTCCATTCGTTCGCCATTGCAATTGACAATCCATTATTCCTTCTTCTTTACTCTATCTTGTGTTTTTCCCTACTGTATTGTTATGAAATGCAACCGTTTGACCCCATTGAGATTTATCCCATACATTGTTGCTCTTGGCTGACCTACCTCAGATGCATTCACTCTTACTTTTCCCTAGATCTTCAGTTTCAGTTTCCCTTCATACATATATATTTTCACATTTCGTTTTCTTGAACATACTCTAACTGTCTAGTACTCCTGATTACTAATGCTACTACAAATATTTCAATTATTTTGCTATTCATCTTGTTGACTTCATCTCGTCGTGCTAATGTTTTCTAAGAACTTACCCTGGCTGTATGTTGATTGTAACTGACTGAGTAACTACAATTCTTTAGAACAATTTTCTGGCTGTAGCGTAGCTCACTCTATTATTCATTTGTATTCTAGGGTTACATAATGTTTAATGCGTACAAGGCTAACTGTAGGACTCATCGAATTCGGTGATAGATATAATCCTATGCATTATACTTAACGAAATCTATTTAAATTCATATTGGTTTGTATTTATCACTTAAATTATATATGATAATACTATCAAAATAATTTTTACTAGAGTTGGATAGTGCCTAGCAGTGGGATCTAAGATACGCATTTCGTCTTATTCGGAACTCGTCAATTAGATGTGCCTCCATCTCACTATTAGTGACTACCCCGGGACTCGAACCTGATGCCTTTCACTTTAAATGTCAGCATTTTGTCCATCGAACTATTCAATCCGAATAGCCACTTACTTGTTCACTATTGTTAATGCTAAAGACTACGTTGGTTCCTAACCACTTATGATCCTTAATATTAACGACAGGAAACCCTTACAGTCAAGCATTATGATATGTTCTCTTTGTCACTTAATACTTTTTAAACAACTCTATATTTCAAGATAAATTTTATATGTTCTATATAGGTGATCAATTATTTAAAACATACTCAGAAATTTTATCAGAACAAGAACAACTAATTAACAATTTAATAAATCAACATCGTCGTAATGGCGGTGCTAATGCACATTCGATATTATCGAAATTATCTGATTTACTTAGTGTGAATACGTGTATCAAGAAATTATTATCTAAATACAATCAACATGTATCTAATTTAACCGCATATTTTGAATATGCCAATTTGCCTAAATGTAATTTGAATGCTGAATTAGCGGATGATATACTTGAAGTTAGTAATATTCATGGTATAGCTTATCCACTTCCATCACATTATTCAAATATTGATACTTATGTTGAAGTTGAATTCAGTTTAAATAATGCCAATCCACCAATGAAGTTATCTACCAATGTAGTTAAATCAAGTAGTGAACCAATATATAGTCAATCAGTTAAAGAATTTCGTGTAAATACAAAAAGTCATTCATATAGACGATTTGTTCAGAATAATCGTTGTCTAAAAGCAACAGTAAGCTAGTTTTCAGTTGTATTAGTTTACAATTGCATGTTCACATAAATTGCATTGTTCTATGTAATATTTTGTATGTATATTAAGGTTGTGTTTTCCCTTGGTCAGTTTTGTTACTGGTAACTATGATTTTGAGTCAAACTCGACTTCAAATAATTTGGTATCAAAAACGGTTAATATCAATTACCCTATGCACAAAATGTTTGACTAAAAGTCAAGTACATAAATGAGTACTTGGTTAGTGATCTACATGGATATTTTTGTTATCCTCGTTTAAGATGGTAGGGAAGATAAGTGCCTCAGTAGTGAAATTTCAAAGGTATAATGTTTTTTGTTCTCTTTGGTTTCGTTATGTAGCTTTTATTAACTTCCTAAATAATACCATCAATGCAGAAGCGATTCATTAAAATTTTCATAGAATCGATTAACTTCTTGTTCTTTCAAGATAAATTTCGATTAGCTGTTGTTCGTATTCGTTCTATTACTGTATGCATATTTATGTCAATATTATTATTTAACAACAGATCTCTAATTTTGTAGCTAGTAGTCATTTTTATTTTTTGTTCCTAAATTAAGTCTATTTCAGTTTGTTTATTGACTATTGACTGAAAAAATTGTTACACTTCCGAAAATTCTCAGATTTTCATTATATGTCGTAACATTTTTCCAGACGAATTCATATTCATAGTTTACCATACGGGTTAATATAAGCCAAAGTACCTGTTCAATATAGACTCACCTGGTACATCATCTTAATGTGTAAGTAGTATACTTTGCTTATTAAGTGCTAAAAAGGTGACTAAACATGATTTCGGTATTCTACTTTTGTTTTACAGGCATAACATTGGCATCCAACGTATATGCTACGTGCACTAGATCATTACTAATTCCAAATTATGTGTAATTTTAATGAACCATAAATTTGATCGTAACCAGAAAGTATTTCTCACATTATGTGTGTATACTTATGATAATCACGAGCATTTGAATTATAGTATGAACTAAGAATTCCAGAAATGACGTAATTGGATTAAGAAGTACTAGATAACCACAAACGAATGTACTGTATTTAGAATTCGAAATCAAGCATTCAACAAGTACAAATGTATCATTAGTTCATTCAAACACCACATCCGCCACAGCTTAAATTAGAGTCTAGGTGTCTGTAATCAATCGTACGTCTTCTTCTCAAGTTCATCCTGTGTCTGTCCGACATTATATTGTATAAAAACTCTATTATCTAGAATTCACTCATTAGTATTAGAATTAACAACCGAAATCGTAACAGACTCACCTACTTCCTGGGATTGTGTAATCAGCATGTCGGTTGTGTACTGAAACCACTGCTACCTAGAATTTGAACCATAGACCTTTAGACTACCCTCCCCGACGAAATAATGTTGGATCTTTATATCCCCAACTTATGAATGATGTGGCTTCATTTAAAACTTATTTCTCACATTGGTTAGAGTAAACATTAGAAGTGTTTTTGTGATAAGCATAAACAGCAGTTGATATGGAATCATCTGAATTGTAATCAAAATCGAGGTCATTCAGTACTTGTCCTTCGCATTGAACAAGTTTCCCACAAGAAGCAAATGCATTATGAGGACAAATAATATTTGGTATGACATCAAGCTTTGACCAGAATAAACAAAATAAACTATTTAAACGCTACCCTGGGAGTTGAAGATAGAATCATGACGCCTCATGATTAAAGCCGGGATTCTTCACAAGTCACGAAGTCGATAACCCTTCTAACAACCAGACCGACAATTAGCATAAGTACATAGAGCGTCCGAACAATGTGGGAAACGGAAAGGACCAGTTAATTAGCAACGGAAATGAGGAGATACAACTCGGCAGTTCTCGGAATCAGTGAAACATATTGGACCCAAGCTGGATAGAAAAGGATAAATTCAGCAGAGATGCTGGTGTACTCCGGTCACTAAAAGGAAAATCCTCCACACACTCAGGGAGTTGTTCTGATGTTGTCCAAAGAAGCATGTAATGTTCTTATAGGATCGGAATCTCATGGCTTCAGGATCGTCAAAACATCCTTCAAAACAAAGGATGGTGTCACAATGAATGTTATCCACTGTTATGCACCCACTAATGATAACGACGAAAATAAGAATCATTTCTATGAGAAGCTGTAATCAATCATAGCGAAGTGCCCAAGAAAGGATCTCACCATCCTGATGTGAGACCTAACTGCCAAAGTTGGAATGGACAACACCGGATATGAACATATCATTGAATGACATGGATTGAGAGAGAGAAACGAAAACAGGGAGATTTGCGAACCTACGTGCATTCAAAAAATGGTTATAGGCGGCACAATATTCCCACACAAACGCATATACAAAGCCACATGGGTCACACCGGACTACACCACAGAGAACCAGATAGATCATATTTGTATTTATTTGTGTGTTTCCAACTAGATGGTTGGTTATACATGGCACACGTTCCGTCGTAAACACACATAAGTCAAATGGGTCTCACCGGATCACACTACGGAGAATCAGATAGATCATATTTGCATCAATAAAAAAGTTCAGAAAGACAATGGAAGACATGAGAACCAAGGGAGGAGCTGACATAAATTCAGATCACCACCAACTGGTTGTGTCCAAGATGAAACCGAAATTAAGGAAACACCAGACATCTGGTGGAACAGCGGCATAGGACCAGTTAATTAGCAACGGAAATCAAGAGATACAACTCGGCAGTTCTCGGAATCAGCGAAACACATTGGATCCAAGCTGGATAGAAAAGGATAAATTCAGCAGAGATGCTGGTGTATTCCGGTCACGACGTGCAATGCTAACCGGTGTTCGGGATGGTTGGAAGAAAGTTAGGGGCGGCCAAACCAAAACATGGCATCAGTGCTTGAAGTCACTAACTTCTAGTCTGAGCCATGTTGGTAGATGCAGACTACTTGGTTGTGGTCCACGTGACTATCGTAACCAATGGTTGGAGACTCTTGGTGACATGGCTCAGCATCGATCACAATGGTGTCGGTGTATACACTCCCTGTCTTCCCTTAAACTAAGAGATTAAAATCGCTTCATACAAATTTCTTTCTACGAACTAATTCTTTTTTCGTGTACTATATCGTTAATGCAATCTTTCTTTTTTATATTACCACCTCTGAATTAACTACTTTTATGAATCCGGTGTCCATTTTGCTATGTTAATGTGGTGTGGCAACTTGGATCGATGCATATATGTGCCTGGTCCTACGTTGCAGCTGACTGACTGACTGAACTGCATCGCAATTCCTCAATGAATTATCTGCAAAACCTTGAGTATGCACTGGGTTGGGATGTCGAAATGCATTAGAATTTTTTTATATCCTCATGAATCATTTTACGAAATCTTCCTTCTTTACCACATTCGAAATTTGTATACTGAACATGGTCTAACAGTAGATCCTTGAGAATTGTATAAGAAAGCGAAATGGGCTTTTCCGGTAAGGCCAGAGTTTTTAATAAGCTATATGCTTCTTTTCCGATGAAAATGAGGAAATGTGCTAGAATATTAACATCCTCAGCATCTTCCTTGATCATAGCCCAGATTTCGAACTTTTCAAAGTAATCCTCAAAAGCATCAGAATCTGAATGTATGTCTAACCGTTCCATCACAGGCTCCATCGCGACGCCAATATGATGATTAGGAATATTTGAATTATGGTATGAAATAAGAATTCTAGAAATAACGTAATTGGATCAAGAAGTACTAGATAATCACAAACGAATGTACTGTATTTAGAATTCGAAATCAAGCATTCAACAAGTACAAAGGTATCATTAGTTCATTCAAACATCACAATACTCCAATGATCAAATAATTTTTTTTAGTAAAAATTATAATCATAGAAAATTTCGAACCATATGAATAATAAACATATGATTATGTCAGTATAATTATTAATATTCAAACGATACAATATGAGAAAAAAAACATTCAATTATTAATAGCTTTCCATTAACATTGATTATTGGTTGATATGTAACCATCATCTTTTTCTACTCTTGTGATTTGGTTATATTTTAGTTTCATTTACTTTAATCATTCTATGCTCACAAAATAGCTGATCAGATTCTAGTCTAAATTGAATTGAAAGAATTTAATATTCGATTATTATTATTATTATTATTGTTATCTAAGAGATGTATTGCTAGCTGTATTATAAAATTCATAGAAGCACTTATGTAACTATTTGCCGACTCTGGGACTGGTTAGAAAAAGCGAAGAGGTGGTCAGTATATGACATGGTGTCGTGGCATGAAAGAAAGTTGCAAAGCACTGGCTTGTGTTGGTCCTTCACGACTCCCTGGTTGGGGTCCGAGAGATGGCGCTACACAGTGGCTAGAGACGTTATCAGATATGGTTCAGAATAGAAGCCAGTGGCGATCCTGCTGTAACCTTCTTTTACTTTTCTCATAAAAAACTGGTTGTCTCTTCCTTAACTGAAAGATTTCTTCTGATTGTACCTTTCCGTCCCCCCATTATTACTATTATTATTACACTACTTTACTCCAACCTCTTCGTTATTGTTCTCTTTTTTTTACGCTCCTTACCTATTTTCTTTTTCCTTCTCTTTAAATTCTCATTGTTTTGTTTGGCGCATATATATTTGGCGCTCTCTTGTACTAATATCTATGTGTTCAAATAAATAAATTGTAAATTTCAATTCTTTATTACTGTCTTTGTAATCTTTATGATGAACAAAAATTGGAAAACTAGACAATATATGATCGGGAATCTTCGGTTTTTCATTTTTTTTCCCAAAATGATATGTATTATATGTAATGAAACTTATATTTATTCTTTAAAAGTGTAAATTTTCTTTTCAATTTTGTTTGTCACATTTTCTTATTGGTACCGTTTAACTTGAAATATCATAAGAAGAATCTTATTCAACGTGACAACTCATTTATCTTGATTGACTTTGCCTCTTAATTAGTTAATTCAAAACTGAAAAACTATTCAAATGCCATTTGACATAGTGTTGTGGATGCGGAGGAATAGACCAATAATTATCATGTTAAGTCCAATGGTGTCCTTGGACTTTAAATGGACATTGCCTATTGGTCGATATCTGTTCACTTGTTAAATATTGTACAAAATGTTGTTTTCTATTTTATGGTACGATGTGGTGTGCTTGATTGGTATATAAAGAAAGTATGTTTGAAATATAATGATTCATATCTCCGAGGCTGTGGTTTGTCTTCTGGACTCAACTAACTGGGCTAGACAGGGAAGCAGGACCAATCAGGGCACTAGGTCGTCCCTTACGTGTTTTCCGTGTCACTCTCACCGAATCGATCAATAAACGCTGCTTATCAAGACCTGCAGTCACACCCGTCATAACACATAGGATCACCTATAGATGAATAATTTTAATTCATTTTGATTCATATCTTGTTGTGTTGAAATATTATAACAAGAAACATTTAAAATTTCATTTTTATTCTGTTCTCAGGTATATTACAATCGTGGTATATTTCGAAGCTGGGGTGTACTAGGTATAACTGAAATTCCTCTTACTGGACTTGTCCAATCGGCAACCGTAACTCATGTTGGTGATTTGAAAGAAGGTCGTAAAGTAGTAGGGGGTCGTCTACAAGTACAGTTAAGACAACGTGAATCACTTAGTGTAAGTTATTGTCAATTAATTGAATCTTTAGTTTATTGTAATCTATATTCAACATAGTAGATCATTATGGTTTTGCTAAACCAGTTAAATGTATTTATTAGTGATTTATAAAGCTAATAACACAGAAATGTTTATTATGAAACAGCAATCACATTGTTTGTGGTTGAAACATCTTAGAATTGTCTATATTCTTTCGTTTTGGGTTATTCGATATAGTTTTTCATGAGCCAACCCAAATACATTGTGATTCCATGTGATGTTTACTGTTCTGATAATGTCTGGGTACTCGTAAGTGTGTGTATGTGTTGATTTTATCTGCTTCATATATTTGTTGTTTTAAAATACCGGAATTTAATCAGCCAATGCTGAATAAACTATCGAATATATTTTTTCAATAGTAGCTAATAATTTTATATGATGATAGCTTCACTGCAAAAGTGTCCTTTAATAATGAATATCGTCAGCAGAAGAATATCATGCTTAAAAAATAGTTTAATAACCATTAAATGAGTTAATAGCTATTTGAACTCAATAGTTTAATGTTTGTAGCGATAAGTAGTGAAGTCGAGTGGGAAATTCAATACTGGAATGTGGGCACATCAAGGTTCTAAAAAAATAAAACACTTATTCTGGATTCCATTTCTCGACGCAACTCACAAGTTTATATTTACAGTTATCTGATATAGATCTAATAAAGATTCTTTCACTTAAAATGGGAAAATGTTTGACCATATTAGTGATTGTCATCTTCGATTGCATTTAAATACTAGAATATAGATTTCCATCATATTTCAAGAAATACTTATTCATAGAATAGAGTTTGGTCATTAGTTTGACCGATTTTTAAAATCTTTAATCTGAAGTTTCACATTCATTATGCTTCTTAAGGTGGATATGTGACGTACAAATCTGCTGTTTGTTGTATATTTATGCTTTCTTGAAGGCTATTAATATTTGGAATTTCACTTTACTATTAGGAACCGAAATAAATTGGCAAAGATTTTACTCGGTTTTAACATTCAATAATACGTGAAATTTCTAGTTATTTGTCTGGATGAAAGGAGGGTTAGTTGTGTGATCGGTATAGTTTTCTGCTAAAAATTGTCGTCATGTAAATAAATTTGTTCTCTTCACACATTTAACTTGGTTTTAAAGAGGTTGCCACTGGTTTTCTCAATACATTAGGTGCTAGTAACTCGGGAAATAGTTTCCGGAGTTTTACTGAGAAGTCATGACAAGTAGATTTTAACCATGTCAAGTGTGAGGCAGTTACCCACTGATGACATTGTAAGATGGTTGGGCAATATCGCGAATAGATTGAAGTTGGAAGTATAAATCACTGAATGCCGACCCAGTGCTCTAAAGCTTAAGCGCTTACTGCGAGACCTGGAAATCCTGAGTCTGATCCTCAGAGAGACCTTAGATGCAGGCTGTCAAGTCCCATATTTGGACGATGCAGCTTTCCAGTTGTTTCTGGTTTTCAATGGTCGTCTAAGTAAATAAAAAATAAAAACGAATATGTAACAATAACGTCTAACTAATGCCGAATTTCCCAATAAACCATTTCGAATGCAACTGTGCCGTACATATTTTTGATTTACTCGTACATATTATCACAACTTAGGGAAATAGTTTTATCATATGTTGGAATGAAGTCACCATCCAATGGAAATCAAAGCAAGTTAATCACTTGCTACATTGTAACGTTAACTGAATAGCAGTATGCTCTGTTCACACTTCATACATTCTGTCCTAGTTAATTGCGTAAGTAAAATCAATGTTTATGGGAAGTAATTTTCGAGCAGAATATTTACGCGTATAGTTAAAGTTTAAAATGAAAGAAAAAAATAAACGAAAATGTGGCAAACATTCCTTTGTTAACTCGCTTCAGTTCACACATAAATTGAAAATCTATTTCCCTTTTTTATGTTTCTATTGATATCATTTATGTTTCAGGGAGAAACTGTTGTTTATCAACAACAGCCTTGGCTTTTATTATCTGCACCGAAACAGATTAATGAATCACCTAAACTTATTGAAATCGAAAATTCAAAAAATAATCCCGTTTCCTCATCTTCTTTGTCTACACCAAAACAGACTGATTCACCTAAATCTATCAGAAGTGAAAATATAAGGCATAGCCCTGTTCCTTCAATTTCATCAAAACAAACTAATTCACCTAAACCTATCAGAATTGAACATGCAATGAATAATCCTATTTCTTCTTCTTCTTCTTCTGTCTCTACAAAAGCAACTAATTCTGTTTCATCGTCATCATCTCGTGTTGTTATCGTAAGAAACATAGATAATTCTTAATTGTTTCATTAATTGAATACATATTATGATACTTTATATTTCACTTGAAATGTCATACATCAAGAAATCAAGTACAGATTTACTTTTTTTATATCAAATGAACATAGAATTACCTATTACAATGATTATTCAAAGGATAATTCTATCTATATTCATGTATCATTTCAAGGAGATGTTTTATGTATATAATTCATTTGGTAATTATGAAATTTCTAATATTACAAAATTCTTTTTCTTTCTTTTTTTAAATTTCCACAAGTCATTTTTGATTTGTTTTCTTTCTTTTTTCTTTTTGAAAAAAAACTATTTTCAGTAGTACTATAATTCTCATTAGATATTTGGTTTCTTGCATTTACTGATTATGAATCAGTTATAAGTAGTATATTGACAACTGGTAGGATTTTTCATCGGTTTAATTTGTCACATATTTACTTATGAGTAATTTATCTCTAGGAGTAAACAATTTAGTACTGATGAAATTTCATTCAAACTTCTGGAAATTGTTTATTACAAATGACTGACTGATATAATAATATTTGTAATCTAAGCTTTCGAACACTTGCGTTGGTTGAAATAATTGATAGTCACATATATCATATATCAGAAGGGGTTTTGTAAAGATTGTAGTAATTTCAACAGTTGAGATCATGAGTCAATTGAAGCTAGACCATCATGGAAAACCTGGAAGCACTGGACGACCGTTTCGTTCTATTGTGGGACTCTTCAGCAGTGCGCATCCATGACATATTCATGTGACGATTACGAGATGGAGAAGATTTGTAGCTGATGTGGATAATTTAGGTGGAGTTTTGTTCTATGAGCTAGATGGTTTGTTTATGGAGCTTTTATTGTTCATCTGAACAACATCATTAGCACAAACTTCTACCTGACTTTTTTTGACGATGATGTTGTTCAGATGAACAACAAGAACTCCACGACCAAACCATCCAAATTACAGAACAAAACCACCTAAATGTGACCATTATGTTATTTTGTACATGCGATGTTATTATTTAGCATAAAAAATAATGTGCAACACATTATATGTCCTAATTTGATCACTTAATTGGTTTTTTTGCGTATGTAAATGCTGTTCAGAGCCCAACGTTCTTCCTGCCAACGCGTAATATGTATAGCAACTTAGTGTAATGTTGGTACGCGAATAAGGTTTATTGTTCGAATCTATCAAATGATGATTTTCATTTTGTCTCAAGATTTTCATCGTTTTCCTTGGATTTAGGTTAAGCTTATTTTCTATTTCAGTAATATATAATCCTAACGGATTGATCAAGTAAAAATCTATGTGCTCAATTCCAATCCATACCTATTGTTTGCTGAGCTAGAATTACAGTCTGCTTAGTCAGGTTGAAGTAAATATAACCTATTTGAAATTTATGAAGTCATAATTAGGTCTTCAATCCATTTATACATGAAACAAATAGTTGATTCTGTTTGATTCATAATCATCTTTCGAAAGAAAATTTGATACAACTTATTGGATTAATTTTGAAATCTGCAGCCATACTACTAAGTTTTTGCACAGACACCAATATTTATGAAAATGTCCAGTTCATACTCATTACAAAATCAAGCATATTCTACAGTGACTTATATAATTGTATAAATAGCCAAACGTTATTATCTGCTAAGAAGGAAATTAACGTTAAGAAAACTTCAATGATAATCAATTATGATTGGGTGATCTGTTCGATAAAATCTACCTGATCAAAGTATTATCAGTCCCTATGAATTTTAAGTACAATTGTTAACTACCTATTTTTAGTAAGTAGCGTAGGTATTATGACGAAATGTTTCAACTTATTTCCTACATAATTATGGTTTGAACAAGTTATTTGTAAATTATTTACAACTGATCATACATCAATTGATACTTAGATACGTTTATTTCAAATTTATTGAGAAGAAATCATTCTGATCGATATGAAGTCTTATTTGTATGCATATGGTGTTGAATATTGGATGTTCATTCGAAATCTAAATTCTTAGAAGTTTTATCAACAATTCACTAAAATTGTTTACTTACTTACGCCTTTTACTCCTCGTGAAAAAGCATAGGCCTCTCACCAGCATTCTCCATCCAACCCTGTCCTGAGTAATTCACTCAGACTGCATCCATAAGCAATTCGTTTACAACATGATTTAGTCTAATAGAAGGTGGTTCTAATGAATTGATGCTTCAAAAATGCCTGAGAATACTTCTTTGAGTCATTTTTAACTAGATCATCTATATGATATTTCTACTTGGAAATTATTTCTATGATTATATGGTCAAATGATTCCCAATATATGATAGATCAAATATTATTTTTTGGTTTTATACACATCAAATCTTATTAAGTGATTTTATGTAATATTTCTCTGCGAATCATCGATTACGCAATGCTGTCTTTGCTTTCATTCTTATTTATACATATGCTTATTTAAAAAAAGTTCTTTTTGAACATACATTGTGTCTTCAAAGCTAATTACAAGCCGTCGAACTCGAACACTATGCACGGATATTTA